CTCCATAATAATTTTCATTACATATTTTACTCCGCGGCAGGTTTAAATTATTGACTGAACCCAAGAGAAAACTTGCTTCAATACCCATATATCGTACCGTATCATGGAAGGGTCGAGGTCTTTCATTTATTCAAAACTTTATTCCTGATCGAATAAATTCATCCCTCCAAGCAAATATTCTTGATGCAGCTGCGACGGAGTTTCTAATATTTATTTATTTAAATATTTCTGTATCAACGAATGTCTTTAATCAATATTAATTAAAAAAAAATTCTCGGAAGTATGAAAGCTTGAATTTCTATTTTTAATTCCCTATTTTCGCTTGAATTTTCGAGACTTTCAGTGGTTTTCAGTGTCATAGGAACTTAAGGAAGATAGGAAAATAGAAAATTACCAAAATATTCAAGAAATTAACGAATTCATCAGAGAAGAATTCCGAAAAAATTCCATATCACTCATTCGTTGTGGAAAATTGCAGGTTTTTTAAACTTGAAACTACAAGTGTAATTTTTAAAAAATCGTTATGAATAGGGGAAGCACGAGAAAAAATGCCCCTGAACCTCCGGTATATTAATCTGTACATTAACCAAAATTAATGTGGTATCAACGAAAAATATTCAGCAGCAAGAGTATCGGTTGAATCAGTATACGTTTATTCCCCTCGGGAGTATCTCGCTAAAACTGTTCTCCCGGGGAATGCCAACGATAGATAGAAAATATAGATAGAGGCGGCAAAAGCACTGCCGAGAGTTGGGTGGGTGGCCACCCACTAGGGCGTCCGGAGCAGATTTACGACTTTGTCGCGATTGAATTATCGGAGGCAAAACGCTTTACATCGTCCGACTGTCGCCTCACCGATAATCTCGCACTATCCGCTCCTGCATCGATCGTTTTGTCAATTGAATCAAGTGGAAGCGGGAGGATAAGACGAGTGTAAATTCAATTTATGCATTTCATTACGAGGTAGATAGAGAAAATCGGCGGAGGTGGTTGGAGCGAAGAAAAAAAAAACCATGAACTCCGTGAAGAGAAAATATGTAGCCATTGGTTATCGATGAAGATCGCCCGGAGGTTGCGAAAGAGGTGGAGACCAATCTGCTCCCTCATAGCAGACGAGAAAAGAGAAGAAAAAGCTGCAAATTGGGTGCCTTCCTCTTTCCTCTTTCCTCTTTCCACCTGGAAAGC